TTCTGGATTTCACATAGATTACCTGTTTTCCTATATAAACAGAGGCAACAGCATTTAAAGCTATCCTATTTACATCTACCCCAAACTGAAAGCTTAAGTCTTTGCGGGATCTGCTTGCCTACAGCAGCAACAATTTTGGAATATGTGCCTGAGTAGCTCTACAACTGTAGCACCCTCTGCTGCTTTTTTAGTTCCAAAACATGTAATTGTACGCTCAGCCAAATAGAAAATAAAATTAATATGTATTGAACATGTTGTTTCTTGAAAATGGTTACATTATTAACTAATGCTATGTGCAGTTTACAAGAAACAGTTTTGCTATTACATATAGTATATTTGCAATTTTATACTACTTGAGCACTCTGGAATATCTTGTTTCTGTGTTAACATCAGGTAGATGCTAGATGAAAATCCCAGAACATGCTGTATTTCACTGCTTAAAAGTCTCCTTTACAGACACTAGCTTGCTTAGACTGGTGGCAATTAGTAAAGAGGGCCCCAATATTTTGGCCCTTGATCATTTAACTTAAACATACAGATAATTTGAAATTATTACTGCAGGGATATAATTATACAAGCATTTCAGTCATAACCGCTTTCTCCCACTAGGAAAGGCAGGGGAAGGTGATACTCTCAAAAGCTCATTCTTGCAGAATTTTCCTTGCTTTTTGGACAGTCTGTTTCAGAAGAGATTTTTCTTCTGCAAGGATGAGCATGGCATGTGGCTCCTGGAGCCAGCTGATGCTATCCCACAATGCCACCACTGAACCTTCTGCCTGCGATCCATCAGTTCTTTTAAAGGACTATCTTAGGACTAGAGATAGTCTCAGGATGTACCGTCTTTTTAACAGATGGCATACTGTTGTCTAAAACGAACAGACTGATCCTTTCCTTCACTCCAGTCCTCTTTTCCCTGCCTCCTGTTTATGCATAGAATTAAAGCGGAATGAAGTGCATGTAGCACTGCATCCTGTCTGTGCGGAGAATTCATTTAGAGTTTTCACGGGGAAACTGCTCCCTCACAAAGGACAAACAGGAGAGAAAAAAATTTTCACATTTTTCTGAAAGTGAAAACCAATTGTAATTTGTAGCGTGAATTTTCATTCACAGTAGCAATCCTACAATGAAAATGCATCTTTGGAAATCTTTTTGAAAAAGAGAGCGTACGAGTGTAGGTACAGTGTTTGAACAAGACATTGTGCAATGGCAACTTCCAGAGTTAACACTTGGGACCCTGCAATACGCCATTTACAGCTACTGCAGTTGGCTCCACTTTCGTCCCTAAGTCTTACTGGTATAAGGCAGCACTCTTGGAAGTAGTCACAAGTATTCCTCAAAAGCTGCTGATTGATATTTTATATAATGCTGCCAGCTAGTGGCACATCTTGTACTGAGTTGATACTACTGGGAGTGTAGAGAAAGTGGTATTAACTAGAGTCTGCTCTACCACTCTTCTTTTGATGGTGTATGGTGATGTGCCCGTTAAAGACCATAAGCAGAAAGATCAAAAAGTGAAACAAAAAGACCATAGAAATGGTCCCTGAAAGAGCTTGTTTTAACACAAGGTACTTAGGAACATTACCAGGAGAAACAAAAAAACTCCCCCCAAAACCACACAAACCATGTTATTTGAAACAAATGATTATGTTTAAAAAGGATGTAATATGCAACAGGTTTCAGTTTTTACAAAATCTAATCTGTTTAATACACAATTATTTCATAATCTAATAATCTCTAGCAAAACATTAAGCTTCCTGATAAATACTCAGTATGACAGCCACGACAAACACACAGAACACTAAAATATTTAACTGTTTTCTGATAACTCAATCTGAATTGTTTAAGTGAAGTTTAGTGCCCAGTAAATAAATTCTAACTATGCAGTGTGTCCTAAAAGAACATTAAACTCTATAATTATTCAATGGGTCCTCTCACAGAGCATGCTACTGTAGATGGGACTGATAATAATGTTCAATACTGGCCAGCTGCATTAGTATTAGGTATTAGAAGAAATAACCTAATACTGTTAAAGACCATTTTAGAAATGTTTAGGGTTATTTTTTAGGGTAGACTATCATTTGATAATATGAAGTTCTTAAAGAACGCCACAGCAACTGTAAAAAAATAGTCGACCTAATTTTAGAAATACTACAACTGTAGGTACCTTTGGGGGTAAATGGAGGCAGGATTACTACCTACCATTTCCACTGTGGATTAACACAGAGAGCCAAGAAATACACAGAAAAAGGTCAAAGAAAGAACCAATTCAGATCAAAGGATAACGGGAGTGTACACAATTCAGTCAGGTCTGATCCAAATAGAGCAGCTCAGTAAACACATGGTTGGGGGAACTTTACTGTGATGGTCTGACCGACACATAGTTACTCTGGCTTGGACACTGGGGACGTTTACTCCACACAGGTGGTAGCAAAAAAGTATGATTATTACCCTGCAAGCCAGGACTGCATGCTGCCAGAAGATAACTATTTGACAGTTACCCTAACAGAGTGTAATCTAGAGTTCTTAGTAAAATGGGCATAAATCAGCAATATGTACATCAATACAGACAGACGCTTACAGACACACACATTAAAAAATGGGGAAGCAGCGAATCTGGAAATTACTTAGCAAACACCATATATAATAACACAGCATGAACCCTCAAAGCAATACTGAATCCAAAAGGACAACTGTGAATCTTTGTATATACAGAGAAACAGTAAGAAGAACTACAAATGTCATATTACTTCTGTTAGGACTGGTGTTGTGCCTATTAGAGTGTAAGTCTTGTTCTACCATCTGCAATCAATAAGAAAGTAGCTGAAATGCTGGAAAAAGTTAAGAGAAGAGCTGACAGCACATCTATCAATAGGAAAGCATATGAAAACTTTAGCAGAGTAAATTATTTGTGTTAACAAGGAAATTTGTGTAGATTGATCACAATCTAAGTACCCACACAAAGAACAAAGATTAAGAAATCATGTAACCATGTTTAACAGAGTGAGGTACACTGTCTTGATCCACTATGTGAAGCGCTTTCAGGAAAAAAAAAAAAAAAAAAAAAAAAAAAAAATAACTTTTCTGTTCAAAATAAATACCCAAGTTGTTATCTAATGAACTAATATAACAATATTTTTTCTGGATCCAAAACCCCAGTTTGGATTTTTTTCCTAATTTTTTCCCTTATTGAGAACAGTTTATGAGAATGAAGTAACTTGTTATAAAAGCCCCTCTAGCTTCCAATTCTGTTTTGATCTATTTGGTGGCCTGTTTTAAAAAAAAAAAAAAAAAAAAAAAAAAAAAGGCATTTTCTCTGCTGTTCAAAATAAATACCCAAGTTGTTATCTAATGAACTAATATAACAATATTTTTTCTGGATCCAAAACCCCAGTTTGGATTTTTTTCCTAATTTTTTCCCTTATTGAGAACAGTTTATGAGAATGAAGTAACTTGTTATAAAAGCCCCTCTAGCTTCCAATTCTGAGAATCTACAACATCAAATCTCTCTAAATGCCTCCCGTAATTTAAGCAAAGCATTTTCTTCCAGATCCTAAATGTTTTTCCCATCCAGCTCATGATGCCTACATCAATAGCTCATCAACCATAATTACACATGCGAGTTTTCTTTCTCAGCCTTAATATTATAATTTGGATATTCATATATCCCTTAGATACAATTTTCATTCAGAAATCAGAGAACAAATTTCTCTTGGGCAACATTTAAAGAATATATCCTGAAGTATTTTGTGGCAGGACCACACAACTATCTTCAATATTCAGAACTGAATGAAAGCTAGCAAATTTTAAAAAGGAGAGCACCTAGTTTATGATTATTTTTTTCCTTTGAAGGCAAAAGTTTATTAAATAAATTGACCTTTTTCCTAATGAAAAGCCAATGTTTATTGAAACATAGCTTTGGAATACTAAGACTGGAGTTTTGAGATGAAACACATATATATCAGAACAGTTGCTCTATCATTGCTTTGATAAGGAAGAAGAGATATGTGCACATGTCTTAAATATCTGGCAAACTTACAGAGACCCCCCCAACTTTATTCTATCAGTTTGCTTGTTTGAAAACAAATCAAGCAACCTGAAAAATAAGGCAGAATAATCAAGCAAGAATTATATTTATATCTGTAAACATTAATTATATAATAGTAATTACTCATTACATCAAAAATATTTAAATATTTTTGCTCAGCTTCTTTTTCATGATCCACCACAATTTTATAATGCAAGTCCATTAACAGCATAGATAATTTTATTAATAAGTATACTGAAGCAGAGCCATACTGGGTCAGACATTGAAGGTCCACTTACAGCTCATCTTGTCTCAGGTTAATGCAGCCAGTAACTGATGCTTAGACAAGAGTGAAAGATCAGGACAAACATATCATCCTACTGCCCCATTAATTCTCCTAACATCCAGCACTTCCTCAGCCATAAGTGATGTCTTTATATTAATAGCCACAGTGAATTTTTCTTGCACAATTTTTTCCCTTTTGCTTTTTGAATTCATGTCATGTTCTAGGATCCAAAACACTGGGGAGGAATTTCACAACTTGACTGTGTGCTTTCTTTTGTTTTTCTCTGGTTTGAGTTTGCCCTCTCCAAGCTACACATATTGTTTGTTTCCCATGTTCTTGCACTGTTGTTCCTCAGATAGCCATTGCTGGCCACTGGCCCACACAAATCAATGGGCTAAACTAATTTTTTGTCCAACCCAATTCAGCTGCTCTAACGTTCCCTCCACAGCCACAGAACCAAAAATAACCTGCACTGGGATGACTTAAGGGTGTATCCACACAAGCAACTCTGCTACATAAAACAGTGTAACACATAAAACACTACGGTGGATAGATCTGTATCTCTCACCAGAGTAATGGTGTTTCTCAGCTAAATGAAATGGTTATAGAGGGTTCATACAGAAATATTTTATAATGATACAATTAGACTTCTATCAACATAGTACTATATTTAAATAAACAATGACTTACAGACATTCCCTGTGTTGTCAAAACTTGTAAGAACATCTTTAACATTTAAGAGTCCGTTGTGAAATCTGGAAGAAAACATAAACAGTGACTTTACCAACATATAAACAATCAAAAAAAGGCAAACGATCTTGCCTCTTCAGAAAAGAGGTTCACTGCACACGTCCACTTCTCACAGACCCCTTTCACAGACAAGCAGCAAACAGGTACTACTGTAGCCACCAGGGGGAAAACAAGGGGACAATCACTACTCTTTAAAATTCCATCACTGAAATCCATGACCCAGGAACAGGTTTCTTGGAAACAAATACTTTATAAAAATGAAAACATTTCCAAAGAGCATCAATTTTTGTTTAGTTGTGGAAGTCACATACAGGAAAGGAAGAATTTTGGTAAAGCGATTTCTTGGAAGAGGAAAAACAAAAGGCTATTTTTTAACAGCAGCTGTATACACACTCCTATTTTCTCCAACAAAATCAAGAACACTTCATTTAATTAATGTGAACAATGAAACTGATTAATGTGTTCAGTGAACTGCATTTTCTTTGGTTTTACATTGGCATAACCCAAGTGAAATAAACATTCAAAACTGGGGATAATAAATTAATTAACTGAATTTCACATACCGACTGCAAATTTTAGAACACAGTGAGCAAAACACTGACAGCAGCAGAAAGAACATGCACCAAAGTTGAACAAAAATTTGCCTAAGAAGCTTCCTCTGCATGTTTCAGATGTCAGGCTATCTGGATTCACACACACAAAAAAGCAACTAAAATTTTTTTAACTATTCTGAGCTAGATCCAAAATGAAAAAAATAAAAAAACCTTACACTTTACAACAATCAGATCACATAGCTGTTTTACAAACGCATTGAAAAAATCTAAAAAGAATTCAGCAAAGCAGTAAAATACAAAAATACAATCTTTTAGTAATGTTTCAAATATAGCTTCTAAGGCTGTTTAGCAACATGTTAATTTGAAACACTGCAAAAATGGAAGAAATCCAACAATTCTAGCACCGACAAAATTAGTTCTCATTCTCTCAGCTTTTCTTTCCTGAAGGAAGATTGTTGTAAGAATGAAAAAAACAAACAAACCCCAACCTTTTTGCAAAACAGAAATTGTATATTTATAGTGCAAAAAAAGCTATTACAGCTTCTGATAAGCATAAGCATTAAATAAAAAACATTTCAATGTTAAATTTTGAGAAGCACTAAACAGCAACTAGACTAATTCTTAAAAAAACAAGGAAAATCAAATGGAAATCAAGTCAACAAACTAAAATGAGCTCATAAACAGGAGCAACAAAATACATGAAAGATGTTACAAAAGATTCAACTGGATGTTACAGCTCTTCTCCCAGCTACATAAAAAAAACCCCAAAAATACATCCCTTAGCTGCAGTGGAAGTCCACAAGAATTCTGATGGATCACGTGGACTTAAAACGCACTTTTTCTTCTTTTTTTGGCAAGTTTGTTTTCAATCAGATTGGACAACCGATGCAACAGAGTTAATTCAAAGGAAGTGACAATAAAGTGGACAGGATCGGTAGTTCTGCCAACCACAGAGCTGCCCTTTACTGTCCCCTGCTGACTCCTTAGCACCCAACAAACTCCATAACTGTGCCTATGTCTGACACAGTTCGTGTCTCAGACAGCTGTGAATGTCTCCTCTTCTAAATGAATGTACGATGGGGGTGGGGGGAGATGCTGAGACAATAAAGAAACATTTTCATCTTTGTTGGCATGTAGATTAGTCCTGGGATAACATGTTTTGGTTTGGGTTTTTTTCTCTCCTCAATTTCTTTATGTACGTAGTCCATATATAAAGGAGATTTATCACGCAAATCCCGAAGTGAAGCAAACAAAGATGAGGATGAACAATTTAGCAATCCAGTACTTGTAGTTCAACAGAATGCTATGAAGAAAGAAAAACAGAAGTACGTGGTGTGCCCTGGTCTAGAAAAGAATACAATTATTTATAGACTTCAGGATCAAAAGGTAGACAAAGGCAAAAAAGAGAATTGATACAGCCATAGCACTGGCCTTAAAATTATCACCAAACCAAATTTCAGGCTGTTTCCAAAATAATGGTTTATAATTGGAGATGAGAAGCGGACAGCTCCGAGTACCTCAGCCTGAAGAATAAGCTAAGATTCCACAACAGATGCATGCCACACACCTATTGTTTTTGATGTTGTCCTAAAATTTTGGTGATGTTTTATTTAAATCAATGAATGTTCTTAATCTACATTATTATTTTTGGTACTCCCCGTTTTCATTAAGGATCAGTTCTTCCTCTGATTACAAAACATTCTTTCCATAATTAAAATCACCACACACAAATTTCAAACATATTCTTCCATGTATTATCCAGTGGCCAAAAGCTTGTGGTGTCCAAGTACAAACACAACACACCCCAATGTTTGCTCTCCTGGCCAGCAGAGGCATTTTGCATAGGCACCCTTTTCTGGCTGCCTGCAACATTCAAAGTCTCTAACTCTCTGTCTCAGCAATCTCTTTTTTGCTTTCACAAATATCGCTCATGGCAAGCACATAAGTGAGCCATAATTTAATGATGAGAAGCATCCAGCTTTGCTGCGAGGGACCTCCCCCTTCTCCTCATTCTTCCAGATGGCCACTCCACACTCATCCTGAAACAGGACAGGGTTTAACAGCTGCTTTCTTTAGTCTGATCAGCTTAGGAAACCTTCACTGAACAAAAGCAGGGAGAGAGCTCAATCTCCTAGAATGAGAGGAGTAGCCATTATCTCAACAGTGATCTGGATAGCAAAACCGCTCTCATTTACTCAAAAAACCACATCTCAGGTCTTAACTATATTACCATTATGGACTATTTTAACACTACTCCACATTAGTAACAATGAACCTTCGAAGTCAATTAGCATGATAG